CCTTTTTGAAGGGATACTTTGTGATTGAAGTTGGAGCAGTTGTGTATGACTAAAAGTCTTACAAGTAAACTAGCTCTCAAGCAGAAGTTGTATTCACATCGCATAGCGAAAGGAGGGTCGTTGGAAGACAATGTTAACGCATTCAAGGAAATAGTTGCAGATTTGGAGACGTTGGAGATTAAATACGATGAAGAGAATCTTGCCTCGATCCTATTATGTTCGCTGCCTGGATCTTATGTGTCGTTTCGGAATACTATCTTGTATAGTCGAGATATATTGATTATAGAAGATGTCTATGATGCTTTGCACTCAAAGGAGAAAACGAAGCATTTGGTTGGAGCTACATTAAGGATGGGGAAGCTCTTGTATCTCACGGTATTCGACGAAGAGACAGATCGAGAGTTAGATTTAGTAATGTGACCTGTTACTATTGCAAAAGGAAGGGACATATTCGGAAAGATTGCGATATGTTGCAGGCTAAAGGTGATTTAGCTGCAAATCGTGAGATGCAACCTTTGAATTCAGACGAAATCAATGTAGTTGATAATTGTTCAGATAGTGAAGAGGTGATGTTGACCGTGGAATCTGATGTAGAGTCTAGGCCTGACGAAGAGTGGATTCTTGATTCAGCATGTTCGCACCATAAGTGTTCCGATAGGAATTTATTTCAAACATATGAGACTGTTTAGTAAGGTGGAGTTGTAATGGGAAACAACCAATCTTGCCATATTGCTGAGATCGGTCGAGTCAGATTGAGGTTGCGGGATGGAACATTTAGAACAATTGATCAAGTTCGACATGTTCATGACCTGAAAAGGAATTTCATTTCGCTAAGTATCCTGGATGCAAAAGGATATAAATTCTCTGGAAGAGGTAAAGTCTTGAAGGTCCGAAAGGGAGTCCGGGTTGTACTGGAGGGACGGAAAAGATCCCAGTTGTACATTTTGCAGGGAGTGTAGAACCGGTTGAAAGACATTTAGACAAGTTTAGTACCGTGTTGGAAGTTCAATTTGATAAAATACCTCTTGTGTTAGGCTCTGAGTCGATTCAGAACACTGCTAGGGAGAGCGTTAGTGATTTCGCTTTGCCACCAATTTTAGTGAGTACACCGTGTTCAGTTGCCGGGGTAGGACTCATCGAGCGTAGGTATCGTGGTGTCATCAATGTCTAGAATGCTTCTAGGGATGTTGAAGGCGAGAGTTCCAGCAAGGGGCCTTCTGATCAAGTATCTGGTTTGGTTTTCGCTATAGTGTGTGCTTCGACCCTGTGTGATCAACATTAATTCCTTAGTGGAATTGAGAACCCTGGGGATTGGGTTTGGGTGTCGGTTGTGGATGATGGGCAGAGGACGAGTGTTTGGGAGTGGTTATTGTGTTGAAAAGATTCGGCCAGTTTATTTCGTTGCAAACGGATTTGAAATCTAAGAGATTCGTTCATTGCACCAAAATTTGAGTCAAGGTGGAGATTGTTAGGAATATGACTCAAATAGAAGTCTTTTGAAGAGGTGTATTTGACTTGGACTAGGAGAATATAAACATAGGGTTTAAGGAAACTAAGTTGAATAAGAAAACAAAATCCTGTTGAAATTGAGTCTCCTAATTGTAATATATTTTCTTGCCTTTTACGACTCTTCTAGGGTTGGTCTATAAATACGAGGCTCGTCTGGTCAGTTTGTAGCGAGAGTAACATAGAAGCAATATTGCTAATCTGTCTTGTATTCTCCATACTGTTGAATTAATAAACATCGTTCCTCTGCGTTTACCCTTTGTGTTCTTTCTTTATAAATTTAATCTTGTATTTTTGTGGTGTGATCTAGTATAATTCAATATTATCATTAAATCTCGTTCTTTATAATCTGGTTTGGAATTAAAGTGTGTTATTGGAGCTTCCGCGCCCAACATATGTTTCATTCAAACATCTTTATAAAATTTTTAATACGATATCTTTTTTACAGGAGCTACCTAAGAGGTGAACGAAACCATCTTGAAGAATCTCTACAGAAGTTTTCAAATCATTTCTCCATTGACATAGCCCTAGAAAATTATACTTTAAGATAATCTTAACAATAATGACGTGCTTTCATCAATAATCTTACGTATGTACTCGTCATTTTCAAATTATGCTTGTAAAATTTACACTTGTAGCTCCTCTTATATCTTATACCTTATTGAGTACTTCTCCTTGAAAATCTTCTTTTTTTGTGGGGGTAAAGTAGAGAGAATTTTTTTTTTTTAACTTATCATATTAGTATTTTTAAGAAATTAAAATTTTATACATTGTACCGTTCATTTCATCGAATGTGTTTTGAACCAAACCATATTGGTACGTGCTCTGTGCAGAATGAATTTAAGAGCCCGTTTGATAGACATTTTTTTTCAAAATGTATTTTTCTCTTCCTTCTTTTTAACCACACATTCTTTATTAAAATAATATTACACGTAAATCAAAAAATTTTCCTTATTTTTTAACCTCACATTTCACATCAATTTACCATTCTCAAATGTATTTTTACATAAAAATTCCTATCAAACATTCCTTAAATAACCAAGTGAACTGAAGAGCAAAGTCCATAGTAGATATTATACAAATAAGGGCTTGACTCATTGATAAATCTACATGTTACCATAAAATTTCTTCAATTTTCATAATTACTTTAGGCTATAAGAAGAACAACAACTAAAAATTACGTACATTTTGAATCATTTTCCAATAAGCAAAACAATAGTTAAAACCCCTTTATCAATTCTCATTGTACTAATTTTCTTCTCCAAACAATGGCCAAAATTGCGTTTCTTATAGGAAAAATTGAGATTCATGTTGTTAATAAAGTTTAAAAAAATTCCAATTTTTATCCGAAAAATATTTTTCGGATAATGTTAATAAAGCTAATAAAGTTAATATTTTTCCCTACGATCTAATTCATGTTGTCCCACTTTTTTTCTTTTTTGGGTCGCTTTTCTAATAAAGTTCAAATATTAGGGGAAAAAGGGCTGAAAATGTCGTCAACTATGAAAACAGTAACTGGGGTGAGAGAGGCTCGAACTCTCGACCTCAGGATCACTCTTTAAGCTATGAGACCTACGCGCTAGCCAACTGCGCCACCACCCCATTTGGTGTCTGTTTCAAAGATAGTTATTATGAACAAAAAATTGCTCTCCACAGATGGGCACTTTTAAGTAAATCAAACTTGTAATTATTTCAACAACATTTTAATTCAAATTTTAGATCTGAGAGAAAAAAAAAAATTCATTAAAATAGAACTCTTT